CAATTAAACGTTATTTTTTATAATTAGTTATTATCCAAATTATCTACTTATTTCAATTGCCTATTAGTGACAGACAAGCAACTTGAACGTTGTTGTAGTTGAAGTATTACCTTTTATTAAATCTTAAGTCTGTAGTTGAAGTATACTATTTCTCCCTGTGGGATCGATATCTATGACTCCATTAGAGCCCTATATTACTTGAGCGATACGTATACTTGCGTTGACAAATTCGACTTTAACATTATTGAATATTATATCTATACATCTTTATTAAATCAAACATATATATATAAAGTCGCAGTCAAGTTTTTGGCATCGTTGCTGGAATTTAAATATTCTAGAAGCGTCATCAAATTCTTGTAATTATTGATTTACAAAAAAAGTCGGTCACCTCACTCATGTGTCAATTAAAATATCACAGGAGAAATTGTGATTTGTCTTATTTTTATTTGATTTATATAATTATTTTAGCTCAAAATTAAGATTTTTAATGTTAATTTATTTAATTGATCAAAGTAAAATTTATGTTCATTGGAAAATTATTAGAGGTTCACCTAGGTCAAAGAACCAATTGGACAAAATTTTATGATTTTTCAATTTATATTTTAATTATTATAATTATTTTTTTGATTTTAGTGATTAATTAAATAAAAAAGATAATTGAATTTCAATGATTACTTTTTATATTTTTATTAAATCTCCTTAAGTCTAGAGAACTCACAGAAACAAACTTTTCATTTTTATGATTTTTATTTTATTTACTATAATTATTTTAATGAAAATTTTAAATATATATATTTTTAGTATTTAAAAATATATAACTAAAATATAAAAATTAGCAAAAAAAATATTTTAAAGGGTCCCAAGTGATCAGGGAGCAATTAGGAACATTTTTTGGGCATTTTCATATTTTTTTGCAATTTTTTAATTATTTTTAATTTAAAAAGTAGCTTAAAAAATGAACTATTTATTTTAATATAAATTTTATTTTTTTTCTAGATGCTCCTGATCATAAGGAACTTAGAAAACCATTTTTCATAATTTTCTTAATTATAGTTTATTTATTATAATTATTTTAATGCAAAGTACCTATTTTACTTGAAATATGAACTTTAGTGATCAAATCAGTTCAAATGGGTTTCAAATTTTTACATTGAGTTAAAATAATCATTATTTATAATTTGGAATCATTTTTTTGTAATTTTTGAATTATATTATATTTATTTAAATTTTATTGAATTTTTATAATTTAATTAACCATAATAATGTACATAAATACTTAAATTCATTTTAAATTTTTCCTAGAGTCCTCTGACCACAAGGAACCTATCAAAATAAGTCTCACATTTTTCTAATTTCTATTTTAATTTATATAATTATTTTAAGCAAAAAATAGACCACTAAGCTTGAAAATTAGGGTTTCATGGCTATAGATGTTCTCTAACTTTGGAAAAATCTGAGAACATCCTTACTGCAATGAGGAACAAACCCCTAAAATTTCAAACCATGGTGAATATTATTTATTTAATTAAAATTAAAATAAGACATATAGAATTTAATTAATAAAAAATAAAACACATGTCAAATAATTTTTATTTTTGGTCCATAATATTTTCTTCACTTCACTGAGCAAGCGGGTTATTTTATTTATTTTTTATGATTTTTTACACTAAGTTATGAAATTTTTAAAGTTTGAGAATAAATTTAAATAAAAAATACCTATTTTTCTACTTATCTACGCGACATCCACGTCAACCTATGACAGCTCTAAAAGCGTACGCAATGCGTTCTTATTCGTTGCACTTTACACCTCAGTGTGCCTCGCATCCCGCTGTTCACGAACAGATTTTCCGTCAGACTTCTCCTCTATCATTGGATCAATACATGCGCAAATTGACGACATTCGTTCATCGTCCTCAAGTGACTTAAACCAAGGGTCATCCACACTATCACACTTTGATCTCGCTCAATACTAAACCAAATCACTCACAATTTGTTCCTACAGCTTCATCTAGTCAAGGCGAACCTATCTATAAGGTTACATACATATGAAATACAAATTCTCTTCACAATTGATGAAACTGAAGTTAAAAGTAAGGATTTTGAAATATACCATTGCTCAAGAGGTCAGGCCTCGATTGGGTGCTTGTGGAAGCTTCAGTAGAGTCCAACGAGCCCTTTCAAAGTGTTAGTTTCTTCTAGTATAAGATCTGAGTAAGAGTTCAACTATCAGGTGGTGTGTCCTTGGTCTAGGAGTATGTTAGAGGGCTCAATAGATGAAGCTTTTAGTGGGGAACATCCTCTTTTGGTCTGAGGAGGCCTTTTAAAGGTTTAATTTAATGTTATGTGGAGTTTAATGGAGTGACAGAAAAGGGTATGGATTTTGAACTCAAAATTAGTGTTTGGCAGTGGGTTTGAGTGGCTGAAAAATGGTGGGGTTGAACTAAAAAAGGCTATAAGGAGCTCTGTCAGCACTTTGGAATGCTCTCCCTAAGCAATTAACAACACTCTTTTCATGTTCGTGAGAGGGGTGGTTTAAATAGAGGAGGAATTTGGGCTAAATTGGCCAAGCCAGAGGGCGGAGAAGGAAGCTTAGGTGGAGGGCTGAACGTCTTAATTCACCGATGGGGGTGAGCCACATTGGATAGGTGAGAAATTGGATTTAAGCCAAGCAAGGCCTTCTTGGTTTTGAATTTTTCGCCCACTAGGCTGGCTGGTCAGGCCAGGGGAGGTGGCTAGATGGCACAAGGACCTAAGGGGGAGGTTAATTGTGATTAGTTTCCAGGTTTGATGGCTGATAGCATAGGGTGAAGAGTTTAACCAAATTTAGGTAAGTGGCTCCTTAATCCAAGGGATCCTTGGTCCATAGCTTCAAAATTGGGTCTTGTTTGATTTGATTAGCATCCAAGAAGGCTAAACATGGTGGGAAATGATTAAGCTTGGTAAATGCAAAAGGTTTAAGTTGATTTTGAGGCTTAGGTTCAAAAGTAAGGTTTGGCCAAAAGCTAGACTTGGGCTTGCTTTGGACATGGTTTAAAAATTTTTTGAAGGGTTCAATTGATCCAAAGGGATGTCATGAAGAATTTAGGAAGTGAAATTGGGGAAATTGAATTGATCACAAGACTCAATTGGATGAAATTTAAAAGTTGGGTCAATTTTGGGGAGATTGGTTTGAGCTTGGATTTGGACTAGGCTAGGGTTTGGATCTAGATCAATTGAGGGTTCAAATTGTTCTAGGGTAATGTCATGAAAAGTTTAGAATCCAAAATTGGGACAATTGGATAGGTTAGGGGGTTCAATTTGATGGGATTTTGACTATGTTCAATTAGGGGTTTGAATTGGGCTTAGAATTTAAGTTTGAAATTGGGTTCAATTAGATTAAAATTTGGTTTCAATTGGGCTCAGACATGATGAATTTGATTTAGATTTGAAATTGGGGAAGTTTGAAATCAATTTGGTGGAAATTAGGGGTGATTTGGAGACTTTAGGCATTTAGGGGCAAAATTGTGATTTTGGTCAAACTTGGTCAAATTTGTCAAGTTAGGTCCAATGGATGGCTAAGATTGGTTTTGGGGATGTTTGGAATGATTTGGGAGGATTAGAGAACTTTTGAGCCATGAGGGGCATTTTGGTAATTTCGGGAAGATTAGGGGTATTTTGGGTAATTTGGAAATTTTGAGGTGTTTTGGGCAATTTGGACGATTTGAAATGGTTTGGGATGATTTTTGGATGAAATTGGGTAATTTTTTAAAATTTAAGGTTCTAAGGGAAATTTGGTAATTTTGGAAAAGTTTAGGGCTAAAAGATCAAAATTTGGAATTTGGGTGGAGTGGGATCAATTGAGGATGCTAAACATAAAATTACCTTTATGGTGCTTTGAGACCAAGGGAACTCCCACTTTAGATCCTCGAGGTGTTGATCTTAGCCAAACCCTATCTTAGAGCTAAGGGTTTGGGGCACCATCCACATGAGTTTCCAAAAGAGTAGGGGATCAAGCTAAGCATGTTGGTTAAGGGTTTTGGTTGTGAGTGAAAGTGAGGGTTTTCAAGTGTGTGTGTGCAAGACTGACCACCCAGGAACACATCATCCAGGGCTAACCCTAAAACCAAACAGTCTTATGGGGACTCCTTGTACTTCTGTATATTTTGTTCTCCATTTTTGTTGTAACTAGGATTTAGTTTAAATAGGATTTAGTAAATCCTGTAAATCTGGATTTATCAAATCCAAATGTTGTTAAATTTTGAAAACTGTTTGGTATGTTATAAAGTAAATTATGATAAATCCTAAGAAGCTATTCAACATTTTAAAGAAGATTTAGCAGGATTTATTTAACATCAAAAAATAACATATTAAATAAAAAATATAAATTAATATCCAAAGTCTCAAAATATATAAAAATGGGCATTTAAACTAATTAATAATAAGTTATATAAATTAATAATTATTTTTTAAACTAATTATATATTAATCAATAATTTAACATTAACAACATTTAGAATTTTATTGAATAATTTAAAATTTGAATGTTAATTATTTATTATTTAACTATTAAATAATTACATATAAATTTATGTAGTTATAATTAATGTGATAATATATAAAATATTTATTAATTATTAATCATTTAAGATAAGAAGATTAGTTTAATTAAAAAAAAAAGTTAAAACCACAAAACTATCTTGTTATTATTCCCCAATCAGCACGAAACCCTCCCTCATGCCCAAAACCATCGCCCTCGTAAACGAACTTCGCGATACAGTGGCCATTGGAGCTAGCTGAGAAGGAAAGACGGGATCGCGGCTTACATAGACTACCGAAACTCCCATCTTTCTCATCCTTTCTCTCCGCTTTTACCAGTTACCAGAAACCATTGAGGAAGGTAAGCCTTTTCGCGCTATTCTTCCTCTTGGCTCGTCCCGGGTTTACTAAATCTGTCCATTCACAGGATTTAGTAAATCCCGGATGTATCGCTAATCGGCGTCACTCTGGGATTTACGGGAGTTCAGGATTTACGGAGGCTTTTTTTTTGTGGCAGGATTTAGCTTAAATCCTGCATAGGCCCTGCTTACAACCGCTTAGATTCTCACCGCGTGTAGCCTCTTATAGATAGATCCGATTGATCATGTTTCTGCATAAGCTTGCCCGTTTAGGGTTCCGAATCGCACAAACGTCGATGCCTGGTACCTTTTTTTGTTATTTTGTTCTCAGTTAATTTTTCTCTTCACGGTCTGATTGAATTAAGCTATGTCGAATGATTATTCTGCCATATTATTTCATTTTTTTCATCTTCTTGTTTTCTGACGGTTGCACATATTTGAATTATGTTAGTTTGTTTGTAGTAAAGAGAAACAACAGATACATGTGTAATCCGAATGAGTTGCTGACTGCTTGGTTGGCTGCATTTGAGTGCATGCCTCATACCTTGCCCAATTGGTCCGGATGAAAGTCACAAAAACACTGCAAGACGGAGTGAGATGAAAATTAGGAGTTTATTTTCAAGAGATACAAACTTCATTTGAAAAAGAAATTTATTCATCATTAAAGTCCATAGAGAATCTCAATCCAATAACACTTATTAATTTGTCCACCAAATTATAAACGAAATGCAACTGCTATAATAACTCATTTAAGAATTTAAACCACTACTGTATCAACTAAATAATTTTGTAACATGAATCTAAAAACTCTTCTCTAGATTATGTAAAATTAATGACCTGAAAGTAATAAAATAATAGGTATAAGATTACTAGAACAAACTGCATGTCTTATTATAACATTTTAAATTTGGAAAGACATGTAACATAAAAATCCAATGATTTATAAATGAACCTATTGGCTCGGTTAGCCAATATTCCAAAAGGATTTTTCTGATAATGCAGCCAACATGCTCACAGCCATTCATTTTAATAGGTATAAGCTACAAGAAACAATTGCATGTGTTTTACTATGACATATTAAAATTGTAAAGATATGCACCATAAAAATCCAATGATTCTACATGAATCTATTGACTTGATTAGCTAATACTCAAAATGGTTTTTCCAATAATGCATCTCTATGAAGCAATGACACCTCCAAACAAAAGTCGTACCCGTGTCAGACACGGAGATGGCCCTGACACGGGTCGATACATGTCTGACACTCTATTAATCATGTTAGAACTCTTCATTTAACTCGATACTTTCGGACACTACTCGACACGTTTCAGATGCTGCTCGACATGGCTCGACACCAACACGGGAACTTAAATTCGAATGAAATCAACTCATAATCCAAAGTGGCAATAACAAATCAAACCTGAGGCATTCTGTAGGTCTTATCATCACCTTGCAATCGTTCTCAGCAGTCTTGTCAAAGCATGTGTCAAGCAATCATTGTCAAGCTTCACTGATCGAAGTGAGGGAGTCGTCGAGCAGCCCTGATCGACGCAAAAGTCGTCAAGCAGCCTTGATCAAAGTAAGGAGTCGTTCAACAATCCTGATCAAAGCAAGGAAGTCTTCGATGTGATCCAGAGCTTTGACTCAAGCTAGGGCACGATATAGAGCTTCTTCGACTTGATCCAAGCTTTGATGCAAGCTAGGGGACGATCCAAAGCTTCAAATCTAGCTAGGGCACAATCCAAAGCATTATACAGAGCTTCCACATGATCTTCAACGTTATCCAGAGCTTCAATGCGAGCTAGGGGACGATCCAGAGCATCGACGTGATCTACAAGATGATCCACATGTGCGGATTTAGCGGTTAAACCTCCATCCATTATTTATATTTTCAATATTATTTCTTTTTGTTTTTTAACAATTTTTTTTTTTTATTTCAATAAGGGAAATTTGGGTATATAATGTGGAATTATTTTGTATTTACCTATCTCACACCTAAACTTTGATATTTACCTGCATACCATTTTAGCTATGCATGAAAGGGTGGATTTGATTTGTGAATCACAATAATTATTGGTAGTTTTGATGTGATAGGAAAGAATTGAGTGGTTATATGAGTAAATATGAAGATTTGGGTGTGAGATATCTAAATACAAAAGAATTGTGTGCTATGAATGTAAATGCTGCATTATCCTTTTACTATAAAGTTTCATTTGGTAATTTCTCAAACTTGAGCAAATACCAAGTTGAACATGAGTTGCTTGCAAACATTAAGCTAAAATGATATCATAAAATGTGGTCATGAGATTCTTCACAGATATTCTCTACAAACATGTTCAACTATTTAATATATTATTTTATGTGTGTCTGTGTCATGACATTATTCATAGATATTCTCTTCAAACATGTTTATCTATTTGATATATTCGTGTGTGTGTGTGTGTTGAAAATATTGGCCATTTCATAGACCTATTTTACATTAAGTTTAGTCATGTTTAAGAGATTTAAAAAAATAAAACAAGGGTTACAAATAATGATGACCAGTGACAAGTAGAATATGTTTCGTGAAGATGATATAAGGTAAAATTTGTGAAGGAAAAAGTTTAGATGATGTGTGGTGGGATAAAATTAATTATATTATTGATTTTTCAGGACTTGTATATGACATATTGAGATTGACTGATACAGTAAACATTATCTCTACCTTATTTATGATATGTAGGATTTTATGATAGAAAAGATGAAAGTTATTATATATCAACATGAGGGAAAGCAATAATAAAGACTCCAATTTTTATAAACTTGTGTATGAGATTTTAGTAGAAAAATGAAATAAAAGCAACACTCATCTCTATTTCTTTTTTTCACTCTCTTAATCCAATGTATCATTGGATTTGATGCTTATTCTTTATTTATTCTAACTTGTACTAATTTTGTCTCTTATAAGTGCATTTTTCTACTAGGTATTACAGTCATGCTTGGCTAACTGAAGCTCCAAATCGTGTTGCTCCACATAAGGATATGAATATATTAATTGAGAGAAATAAATGTTTAAAAAGGATTTTTCCAAATTTTGAAGAAAGATGAATTGCTAATTTAGAGTTTGCTATTTTTTTTAGATTTAGTTGTGTTTTTGTTTATCATGACTCCATAACTTCTAGAGCTATTATGGATAGAAAGACATGACGGATGATTTGTGGAGCAAGTTCCCCACAATTGCAAAGTTTAGCTTTGAAATTGTTGGCTCAACCGTGTTCATCATCTTGTTGTGAAAGAAACTGAAGTATATATTCTTTTATAATTAACTTAAGTGGAACAAAATCACTCAACGAAGTAAAGATTTGATATTTCTTCATTTTAATCTTCTTCTTCTATCTAGGAGGAGCCCAATATATTCTTAGGATGACACAAAATTATGGGATGTTGGTGGAAATTTCCTAGCTACAATGGATGAAATTGGAATTCTTGAAGTTGCTAATCTTTCTCTTGATGAACGATATTTAGAAACGGTATTTTCATTGATGAAGGTGAATGTGTCATTGATGAGGGTAATGGAGCTAATACTAAAGATGACACAACTGTTGAATGTATTAACTCCAATTAGTGATAATTATGTAGTTATATTTTGGCATTTTGCTATATTTCATTTTATTATGGATATTGATATTATTTGTTTTGGTAATATTTTTATATTTTGAATGCAATTTTAATTTTGCAAAAAAACAACTTCTACAATTATAAAATTTTTGAATGATTGTTTTTGTTGTTTTGTGATGTCTTTAATAAAAAATATTTAAAATATATATTTATATTAATAATTTATTAAAATATTAAAAATGTATTCATGCCGCATCATGTCCTCTTTTTTGCAATTATCCTTGTGTTTGTGCTTCATACATGCATCCAAAATGCAAACAACCATTCATTATATAAGTTAAATTGTAATATTAAACGTTCTTAATGAAAATTATATTATGACCAACTCATTTACATGTCAACATAATTCATGATTTTTGCGGGCGATAGTTTTTTTTTTCAATAATCAAAATAATATACATAAATTTCTAAGAATTTGTGCAATAAGTAACAATGTAACATGGTAAATCTATCTATCAAATCATATCAATATGATCGTATAAAATAATACAAAGAAATAAAGTATATTTTATAATATAGTATCAATAATTAAAGCCTGTAAACAAATATCAAGGACTTCGCCCCTAATAAACAAGTATGTGGTATATTTTTTCCCTAACCAATCATGATTTCCCTGCTAGATAGATTTTAAAGCATTCAAACTTTTCAATCTAGATACTAATATTTATTAGTCTAGCACATGGTATTCTAGAAACTCTAGATTCAAATAATCAAAATTAAGTATACGTTCAATATATTGCATATCAAACTATTAAATAATCACTACAATTAATTAAGAAAATTATTGTAACCAATGATTCTCATATTTGTTTGAATTTATGCTGCACTATTAACCTGAAATAACCTCTCTCTCTCTCTCTCTCTCACACACACACACACACACACATATATATAGATAGATAGATAACTAGAATAACAATATTTATCATAATATTCTTAAAATTTATCTTTTTAAAGCATACTAATTAGCAACAAACGATCTAATACCCTTTATTTTACATTAAGCATCTTGCCATCCATTGAGTTAAATAAATCCCATTATCTGATTCCCATGCACCTTTTAATCAACAATTATGAAGTATTAGCTTCAATGTTTAGGTAGTGCACTTTAAGAACTTCATAATATGGATGACACTAGGTTTTGAAGTCTTAACTTAAATGTCAAGTACCATCTCAATTAATTCTTAATAATCTTTCATATTCATATCCTCCAAAAACTACAAAAAATAAGATTAGAATTGAGAGCTTACCTAGCTTCTTCAAGAGGTGAGTTGCAATTGATCAGTATGCTCAATAATTTATTCGTGGCTATGCTTAATTTTGGCTAGTTTATGTTCATTAAATTAATAAATTGAACAAACTTTAACACTTGTATAAATATTCAATTTATAGATGATTAGGCTTGAAGAAAGTTAGCGCTTAATTCATTTATAAGCATGAACAATATTATTTAAATTTTGAGAGCCATCTTGAAATATTCTCATTTCATACTCGATGACAAAATTATTTAACATTTGATTATGTGAAAGTCTTGTTTTTTTGTATGAGATTGACTTTATTCATGAAAATAAACTACTTGTATATGCATGTTACTTTAATAGTTCATTAAATTAAATAATAATTTTTAAGTTCAGTAGGCTAGCATC